CCCCAGACGGCCCAAGAGGCGCCCAAGACGGCCCAAGAGGGCCCCAAGACGGCCCCACGACGGGGAACACGAACCGAAAAGTCCAGCCTATCGCCCCAAGACGCTCCCAGGAGGCCCCCACAGCCCCTCAAGAAGCCCCAAAAGGCCCCCAAGAGGCGACCCAAGAGGCCATCAGGAGGCCAAAATCATAGGTTTTCTATAGGAAAACGTACATTTTTAGCATACACGGGCTTTCGGTTTTCACTGCGTTGACGACGGCCCAAGAGGCCCCCAAGACCGCCCCAAGACGGCCCAAGGGGCCCCCCAGAGGCCCCCCAAACGGCCCAAGAGGGCGCCAAGACGGCCCAGGAGGCGCCCAAGACGGCCCACGAGGGCCCCAAGACGGCCCCAAGAGGGGGATCACGAACCCGAAAGTCTAGCCTTTCGCCCCAAGGCGCTCCCAGGAGGCCCCCACAGACCCCCAAGAAGCCCCATGAGGCCCCCAAGAGGCCACCAGGAGAGCCCGAAAAGGGCCCCAATAGGACTCCTACGAAGGCCCAGAGACGCCGAGAGCGATCGGTAATGCAAAAAGCTCTTCACACCAAGGCTCCCAAGAGCGAACGGTGACGTAAACAAGTTGATAAGACCCAGGCTCCCAGCAGACAGCGGTAACGCAACAAGTTCCTGACACCAAGGCCCAGCCAAAGCTCAGGAACGGGCGGCAACGCAACCATCTCTGAACCCCAAGGCTCCCAAGAGCGAGGGGTGACCGAACCAGCTCTCAACGCCAAGGCTCCCAGTACGAACGGTGGTGTGAGTCATTTCGGTTTCTGTTGCTGCAGCGCTCTTTCCGTTTCCGTGCCGGCCCAGGTCTATTGGGCCGCATCGGGGGCTTCCCGGGCCGTCTTGGAGCTTCATTAGGCCGCCTCGTGGTCTTCATGGGGGCATACTTGGCTGGTGTGGGGCGATATTGGAGGCCTCTGGGCCGTCATGGGCGTGCTGAAGCCTGACGAGGCGAAACGCTAAACTCATCAGTGTGGTGGTCTCTGATGAGTGTTGCATGTTGAGGCCTTCTTAGAGGTCCGCTTGGAGCTCTCTTGGAGCGTCTCGGGGGTCGTCTTTTGACCATCTTGGAGTGTCTTGGAGCGTCGGGGCCGTCGGTGACCGTCTTGGGGCCCCCTTGGGACCCTCCCAGTCCATTTGGGAGCTTTTTGACTTCGGGAAGTCGCATGCGCCACATCCCAGCGTCCCTGGGCCTCCTGGCCCCTTGAATGGCATTTACTAGATCCAGCGAGGTGAACTCGAAGGAGCCTGAGGACACTCCACTCAGAGCCAGCGGCACGATGGCATACTTTACAAGCGGAGAATGCGACTGCTTATTGCATTCCCGTCGCGTTGTCCCCCCCGTGTTTCCGAACGTTGTGTTGGCAATGGGCACGTATTGGGATCATAACGGCAAGCATATGTCCATGGTGTTCGAGAAGTTTCCGATGCCCGGATGTTTTCACCGTGTTGCTTTTGGTGTCGTTTGGAGAACCGGCCGATGGGCTCAAATAAAACCCCTTCGCGTGCCAGGTGGCCATATCCAGTGGCAAGGCAACACCACATCCGACACAGGGTATTCTCCTCCTCCACTGCACTCAGTAGCTCGTCGAGGGTTGAATCAAGAAGGTTGTGTACTCTGACCAGGGTGAGGACGCCCGCCGAAAGTGTATTTGTGCGTCCCTTGCGGCGGTATATGATCGTTATCGGGAGGCGCTCGAAGAGGATGTAGCAGCAGCAGCTGCAGTCATGGCGAGCACAGTGCTTCCACTAAGTCATGAGCAGAACATGTCAACACCCGGGCCCTCGAGATCAGGACACCGAAGCGCGGTCCATCGGACACGATGCGCGATCCCGTGGATACTTTCTGCACGGAGCATCCGTGCAAGAGCGCCCTATGTCCGTGGTCGCGTCCGAAGAGTCCATACCGCGAGGTCGTGGATATGGATCTCCCCCCCGCGAATGATAGCAGCTTCTCTTCATGGCTCGATGTGCGCACCACGTTTGCTGCATATCCAGGGTGCGCCGGGACGCATCGAGGGTCGGTGGGATGATGTCTGGTATTCCACCTGCCGCGTGCACCTAAGGGAGCCCGATATGGTGCGTAAGTATGTGCACCCTGAACACGCGCCAGGGCGCCTGATGCTCTCGCACCCCGGCGCTGAGGCCTGATCGGCCTAATTCTTGCCCTGGTCGTTCAGGATTGTCGCGGAATCAAACGGGATGGGCCTACTTCACCGTGCGTTGACGCGCGCTCGAACTGTTCGAACCCAGTTTGTGTTGTAATGGCGAGTTCCTTCCGAGGGGGACTCAAACTGCCCAGGCAGGCGAACTAGATTGCCAGCGCGGGACCTCCATTCAATCATGCACGAGGGATGGCCATGGAGTGATAGTCTGAACATGTCAGCCCACGAAGGCGCAAAGTCAAGCCTTACAGACCCGAGCTCGGCCACACGCATACACAGCCTGACAACATTGG